TATAAACTTTCGCGACGCGCAAATATAGACTTTCCTGACACGCAAATATAAAGATTTCGTCATATATAAAATTTGTGCATTTGATATAGACTTTTTTCTATATAAATTCAGTAAAAATTTTATATATTACAAATAATAATTATGGACCACACGGCGCGAGGCATACTAATATAATATTGAAATATCGTCGCACTTAAATATATAGAACATTTTTCACACGATATAAGAAATTTTGCATATAATATTGATAAGTTCGTATATTATATAGGATTTTTTTCTATATTTCGAGTTAAAATGTCTATATATCGAAAGAAATAATTATGAACCAAACGGTGCCTCATAACTATTTGTTAATTGAAAAATAAACTAATTTATAGTTATTAGGTATATACTTGCCCAATTGTTGAGATTGAATGTTATCAAACAAAACGCCTTATGCGTTCCTGAAGAGGCACCCTGTATAGAAAACAAAAACGTCTGAATTAAGACACAACAGTGGGCCTTCTACGCTTTCGTGAAAAGCTGCCGGAAATTTTGAAATCGGCAACTCTTGCTGCGACACCCCTTAGGGCGGGCTTCAGCTATTTTTTAACAGAAGTGTAGATTCAAGTGTTTCAAATCCCCATTTTTTTCAGGAAAAAGTTAAAAATACCCTAGTCGGATTCCCCCGCAGGAAATTATATACTTATAAATAAAGTTCCGTAGAATGTTGAAGATCGAGTCGAACGATGTCTGCAGGTTTGATAGATTGTCAAGGTCCCAGCTGTTTATGCGGTAACGGGAATCAGGAAGTCGAAAGGTTCACAAGAGAATTACCCACACGTTTCTCGTCTTGTTTCCTTCCAACTGAAATGTGTTGCATTTCCTTATATCGTTCCATCGCCGAAATTCTCATGGTGGAATCCCCTGAAATCCGCAAAAAATGTTACGGAAGCAAACGTCGAACGTCCTGAAAAAAAAAGAAACAAGATGTTAAATCTCGAGCTTAATCTGTATGTATGTACATCGATGGCTGATTCATTGTATCATCCTCGGTTTCACTGCAATAATTAAATGGATTCCATTAATAATTAAAAATAATTACTTATATTATAATCCCTACGATGCGTCTGAACTGAATCTTAAAAAACTTTTTTTCTGTGACGGGAAGATAGTTCGATATTTTATCTCTGTTAACAAGTTACAAAATGTCACTTTTCATAAATCACTTTGTTTCCACAGGAAAAAAACTGAGTACTTTTTTCCCGGATATATAGGTACAGTTCTACTTGTATCCATTTCATTTCTTCTCAACTAGTTGGAATATTCATTCGGAGATGGAAAAAGCAAAAAACAATAATTGAAATGTATAGGAGAAGTATATACTTGTATAAACTCTGATCTTGATGAGCTTGGAAAAATCATTCGTATCAGTGATATGGGAAATTATATCTCTCACAATACTGAACATATATTGGTATGAGTTATATTTTTTTCTACTCACATAACTTAAATGGCATTTAGCGTACGGATATATGTACCACGCTAAATGATCGATTAATCACACACGTTACTATGGCAACACGATTTCTTAAACACATTACCACGGCAACACAGTTCATTAAACACAGCTTCAGTATAATTTGAGACATGTCTGGCCTATCAATTGTAGGAACTGTCAACTGTCATTTTGGAATTTCGTATCAGAATTATTCAAACAATTTTCGTTTGTATCAGAATTCTACATTAAAAATATATGCGAAATGTAGACAAAAGTGAAATCGAAGAGAATGTTTTGGTACTTGCATATCTCCAAGAAGTGTAAAAATGAAGCATCCATCTTTGAGAACTATTGATTCATTATGCGCTAAGCATGACAATAAACGTGAAACAAAGGTTAGTAAGCAATGGACTGGAGTGACTGGACACATCTACAACCAATATATCACTTCAGTTCAGTTGCATGTACTACGAGTAGTACGAGTTCTCAATCCCCATTCCTTCCGGATTATTTTGTAGGTTAGGAGGAATAGCAGGTATGTTGATGTAATTTTGGGAGTTCGTAGAAAAAGCATAGTATGTAACGCGTTTATAAACTCTTCTAGACACTCGTTTATTAAACACTCGCCTCGCTCTGCTCCGCTCGTACTTAAAATACTCGTTACTAAAAGGACGTCTATAACACTTGTTACATAATATACTATTATATCCCAATGCTTCATATTATTTTATCCGATTTGAGAGATAATGTCAATTCTCAATTTCAGAGGATTTGAATTTTTCATGCTCTCTGAGTAGTTGTTTCCTGTTGAATATTCAGATTGATATTATGTGCATATTTTTTTATTGTGAAGGAGAATGCAAATTCTCTACTTCAGAAGATTTTGTTTTCGAATATTTATCGTGTGTGTTCAATAGATATAATTCAATGGCATATAGCCAGCAAAGTAGTTGTTTTCTGTTGAATAAACCGAGAAAGAATTGATATTTTCATCACATAGAGAATGCGAATTCTCAATGTATATATATCAATTTATTTTTTTATGTTCATGATTATATCTGAGAATATTTCTCATTTTCCCACCCTTTTACCCAACCAAGGGGTTCAAACTTGAACGATGGAAACTTGTTATTTTTATAGATCTTCAATCCCAAAAACTTATTGATATTTTTCTTTTTCGGGCCAAGAGCTATTTCACTTCCAGGCAGCTGCTTATGATCTATAAGGCACAGATCCGACCTGTCCTGGAATACTGTTCCCATATTTGGAGTGCAGCACCCAAACATACCCTGAAACTGTTGTATTCTGTCCAAAAAAGGGCAATTCGTCTCGTGGGTGATGCCTCGCTCACAAACTCACTCACTGCTCTGGAACACCGTAGAAAAGTTGGCGATCTGGCTCTATTTTATAGTTATTTTCATGGATGATGCTCTTCTGAAATATTAACAATTGTTCCTCCCTTGGCAGTCTCCGCGAGATTAACCCGTCGAGTTGAGGCTTCGCACCTCTTCGTGGTCACTATTTGGAGACCTGCAGAACATCTCTTTCCAAATACTAGTTCATCCAACGAACAGCAAGGCTCTGGAACACATTGCCAAAGGAGGTGTTCCCCGAGGCATATAACCTCCAGAAATTCAAGAAGAACACCAATGCCTACCTTATTTCCCTTGGTTCTCACGATGTTCTCTGAACATTACGGGATATCCCTTTTCGTGGGGACCAGAACATAAACTCTGTGTTTTTATTTTGTGTTGACGGCAATACGATATAATTTTGTTCTGTGAACTCTGTCAAGTGTCTGTTGTCTATCAATATTATTATTAACAATATAACCTTTGATTAAATTTATTCTTCAATTTGGGAATTGGTTTCTTACAAATGTACCACATATGGGCCCAATTTCACATTCTAGTACCACCGTACTTTTCAGTATAGCAAATGTACACTCGTCTTCAGCGAACATGTCGCGGTTGGACGATATCAGCGCTCTTATTGCAGCGGTGATCAAGGAAGCTGACACCTTCCATGAGCGACATGATCTCTGAAGACGAGTATACTACCTCTGGCACACCGTCCAGCGTCTTCATTTCTCGTGGACTGTGGACTGTGAACTCGTTGATCGCTTTGTATGATTACATGATCGTCGAATAGCGAACGTTCAACATAACATCATAATAAAAACTAAAATCATGGTAAAAGTTACAAAAATACCTATATATGTATTGGTATACAAACATCCGGCGAAAAATTACCCAACAATATAGAAATGATCCATATATAGAGTATTCATCTCATTTCACTATATTATTATGCTTCCATAATGATGGTAATTCCAATAGTTTCAGTGAAATAAATTATGGATATTTTTACTATGCACGGATTGATGATTTCAACTGTATAAGATCAAGTTGAAATGACTAAAATTGAAAGAAATAAAATTTTGGAGAATATTATATTTTTTACTACTATGATGGACTATAAATATACAGGCTGTCCGCTTAAAGGAGGTAAATCCATTAACTATATATTCCTTGAACAAAAACAATATGAGTTTCTAAATACCATTTCTCATTTTAGCCCTTCATATTCGATATACAGGGGGTCAAAGTTGGAAATTAAAAACTGTTGATTTCTAAATACTCGCGTATTTAATAAGAAATCAATCTTGAAATTGGTACATTACTTCAGCACAAAGAGTTACATCGTGTGAGGAAAACAATACAGAAAATAACTGTCAAATATTCAAAATACTGGGGGTCAAGTATATACACACTAACCCCCCTTTTTGTAAAAATAATTTTATTACATTCGCTCTGAGCACCCGGTATTTCCATATCTACCTTTTCGTACGTAAAAAGTTACGCCCTCTTCCAATTTCGACGAAATAAATAGTATGTGAACATTATGAGATTACCGTAAGCCGCATAGGCATGAAACAATAACCAGTACTTTTCGAATTATCTTGAAAACAAATAATGTTATCGACATTTTACAAGAGACAAAAAATACTCAAAAATGATTGAACAACTTGAAGAGAAATAGATATGAACTCATTAGCGCACGTAAAAAAAATATGGGGGTAAGTGTGTACTTGACCTCCAGTATTTAGAATATTTGACATCAGTTATTTTCTGTTTTGTTTTCCTCACACGATGTAACTCTTTGTGCTGGAGTAATGTACCAATTTTGAGATTGATATCTTATAAAATACGCGAATAATTAGAAAAAAACAGTTTTAAATTTTCAACTTTGACACCCTGTATATCGAATGTGAAGGGCTAATATGAAAAATGGTATTGAGAAACCCATATTGTTTTCGTTCAAGGAATATAATTGGTTGATGGATTGACCTCCTTTTAGCGGACACCCTGTATATAGTTTTCATTACCCAATAAATGAAACTGCAATAATACAGTAAAATTTTCCTCTCTATTTGATTCTGTCTACAAGATGATCGATCTGTAAAAAAAAACGGTCTCATCATTCTGAAAATCGATTTTTTTCGTTTTCCTCATTTTAGCAGTCCAACGAGGCAGGGTACCGCCTTCGCAGCAGTCCCTCCCCGGCCTGCCTAACCAGTTCCTCAACTCCACCGACTCGATGACGTCGTCCCTGAGCAACCACACCTACCTGAGCAGCTACATCTCGCTGCTGCTCAGGGCGGAACCCTACCCCACGAGCAGGTACGGCCAGTGCATCCAGACGAACAACATCATGGGGATAGACAACATCTGCGAGCTGGCTGCGAGGTTGCTGTTCTCTGCTGTGGAATGGGCGAGGAATATACCTTTTTTTCCGGAACTGCAAGTTACCGACCAGGTGAGGTATAGTGTCCCAAATAACATTTTCCTTCGACCTCGTAATCTCGTATTAACTATGAAATCGTTCATTAATTACCCCTATTAATGATCAATTTGTCTATTAATGCACGATTGTTTTATAGGCAACCAAACATACACCGCGTGCATTCATTGTTTATGCTATAACTTACGGAATCTGCATTTAAATCGAAAATATGGATTTCATCGAAGATTTTCCGTTAACGGGTTCGCCTTTCCAAGTTTCTGAAACGATTTTAATCCCTGTTTTCTAACACAAGGAATTTATTTTCTATGTTGATCATTTCGACAAATGTCAAATGTCACTAATGTCAGTAACTAACAAGGCTACTGGGTGATTGTTAGTAGTTTCCGGATGAATGATGAATTCGCGAACCAAGTTTTCTTCATTGCGTCAGAAATGAGAAATATAGTCGACGGAAAAATTTTGAAATCAACTCGTATATTGAGAGGCGATTAATACACTAGTTGGTTAAATAACTATATCAGTTTTATTGTTAGCTACAGGAGGTTGTTACAGCCTATTTTGAAATGCCCTTTCAAAAACTATTATACTTTAATAATTTCATTGAAACAATAAAACAACCTTCTCAAAACATAAAGGGCCAACCTTTATGAAAGCTTTCACAGCTTCTTTTAAAGCTTGTCATAAAATTTATCATAGTATGCCTCAAAGCAATAATAATACTATCAAAAAGGCTTCCTGTTAATCGATTGCATCAATAATTTTCCTTCTTCATTTGAGTGTTTATTAAAATTGCATATTATCAATAAAGACGGAAAATGTATTCAAGAAACGAAAAAGTCGATATGTTGTTGATATGCAATTTTAATCAACACACAAATGAAAAAGAAAAATTATTGATGCAATCGATCAACTGTCAAACACAAAACATTTTGTGTAGGTACCGCCTACTAAGTGAAATAATTATGGAAAAATAGACTGATAGCCTTGTGGATCATCGTATAAGAGGAACAATTTTAGTTTTATTATTCCAAATGGGAAGATTATAATATGATAGGTACATGGCGAAAATAAAAGACAGATTTCTGTACATATAGCTGAATTCGAAAAAATATGTTCCTATCTTAGATTCCTCAATATCATGAGTTATTTTCGAAGGTTTTCATCTTGACTCAAACAAGCTATTGACAACCTGCAGACATTGATCAGAATATCAAAATATTTTGAATAATATCGGTTTACTAATAATCTTCAAATTTCAAAGCCTACCAAGTGTCGATATATCATCGAATTCTTGTCACAGCCAACTCATTCTTTTTGAATAAAAAGCAAATTAACAGCGAATTAAGAAATAAATGCCACTTTGTGATACATGGTTGGATAGAGAAATTCAAGGCGAAAAAGATAGACTGAAGAAATGTACATGGTGACATTAAAAAAATGAAGTTGGGGTCACTTCCGGTCAAACAGGTCGTTGAAACAAATTGTCGTTCAGTTCGTAAAGTGCGCTACCATTCATTATATACCCCCTGTGAATTTCAAAATTTTATCTCTTCAAATAAAAAAACTACAGGCTGCTACATGTCTCCTGTGTCACCCGGTATATATATCGATTTTTTCATAATCATAATTTATCTGCGAATATTCTTTTTCAATACTCTCACCCAACCAAGAGGTTAAACTTGAACGATGGAAACTTGTTATTATTATATACCTTCAATCGCATCAGATTCGTGATAAAGTTTTCTCAATTCAGAATTTTCTCCACGTCCTGTATGATGAATATCAATTTGTCATACATCCAAAAACATCATGCTATTTATTCAGCAACAAATATTATCATGTTATCTTTATTGTATTTTATTATATTTATTGCACTTTATTATTTCCAATTCTAAGATAACATTCTTCGAGCAACGTATTATCCACATCAAAAACGCATGAGAAGTGTTGCAAAAATGTATTTAGTTCCCTAATGACACAGTTAAAGTTAGGTAATTGAACGCCAATTATCTCGCCAATTATTCACTATCAGCCCAATAGCCTATTTGTAACACACTATTCCAACACCACCCCGTATAAGATGATATATTTGACGCATCTATTTCGACCGACGGATGGCCAATTAGCTAATGGCTCCATTTCGGTTACAGGTGGCCCTTTTCAGATTAGTGTGGCCGCAGTTGTTCCTGAACATTATACAGAGGGATCATAAACTCATCCTGATTTGACAAAATACAATATGTTGAAGAGTTATTTTGCCCATATAGGAAACCTATATTATGAGAAATTACCAAGTTTTACACTATTATAGGATTATATCTAAGGTTTGCAATCCCAAAATACCGATACCGAAAATCCCAGGATCCTAGTGATATTTTTATATATACCGAGAATCCCGGGATCATATCCGAGTAGATCCCGGGATTTTCGAATTAATTTAGAAGACCAATAAGATTTCGCTCTCGTCAAGGGAATCAGATTATTATTAGTCGAAGTTCCTGAAAAGAAAGTTATTATGAAGATACTCTTGAGTCATATAAAACCTTTCTTAATAGTTTCAGACGCAATAATTGATGAACAAAGTGATGGGGAAGGTAAAATTCCTTTTGCGAGTCAATGGATCAAATATAAACACTGGACCCACTGTGAGTTTGCCGATGTTCCAGCAAGACGTAAAATGTTCATTTCTGAAGTTTGCCGTTAATCTCTTTTTTTTTTTATTGTTCAGCTATTTCAATGGATTAGCCCAATTTTCACTTTGAATAAATGATAAATCTAACACTTCATCATGTTTCCGCTTATTATCTACAAGTAAGTAATTTTACGGGGAGTGTATAATCTCTGCATAAGCCTATACTACTTTTTCTACTCACATCACACATTCTTAAACTAATTAAGCATGGCAACACAGTTCTTTGAACACACCTTCAGTCGTTTGAGTTCTGTCTGGATTGTCAATTGTAGGAACTGTCAACTGTCATTTTCGAATTTTGTTGCAATTTGCAATCGGTGACAATCAGAATTATTTAAACAATTTCTGTTTGTATCAGAATTCTTCATTTAAAATGTATGTGAAATGTTGACGGAAGTGGAATGGAAGATAATGCTTTATTAGGTATAGTTAATGCAAAGTCAGTTGAAAAAAAACATCACCGCAAGCCGTCGGTCTCTTTGAAAGTTCAAAGAGTACGGCAGCGCGGCCCGACATTCGTTTGATGATCTGTTCAACTGACTTTGCATAAACTTTATACTTGCATATTTCCAAGAACTCTGTGTGAAAATAAAGCTCTCATCTTTGCTCTAAGCATGACAATATATAAACGTAAGAACATGTATGTAAACAAAAACTATGTAATCAGAATATGGATACAAACCCGAGGAATATACCTCTAAGAATCGAAGAGTTTTTATCTTCTACGTCAGATGAAAACTTGTTTTTCACAAAGGTTAGTAAAATTCATGTATCATATGGACTGGACACAATCATCTACAACCAATATCACTTATCCGTGCCTCGTTGGTTGCATGATGCAGTTGCATAGTATTATGTTCTCAATTCCCATTCCCTTCGAATTTATGTATTTGTATATATGTTAGGGGGTAGGTTAATCTGATTTTCGGAATTATGGTTACTCGTCGAAGAGAGAAATTAAGAGTTCGTAGAAAAAGTATAGTATGTAACGCGTTTATAAACTCTTCTAGACATAAGTTCATAAGTTCGAAAATTGTTAAATATGGATAACATTTTTGAAATAGACATGCTTCTTGACAGGATATCTGAACAATGGTGTGAACAATGTAGGGTATGTCATTTTAGGCGGAACTCCCCTAATCTTTTGACCTCATAAGAACACCGTACGAAAGTCGGCGACCTTTCACTTTTCCATATAGATACTACCATACGAGACATATTCCTCAGAAATCTCTGCTATCATTCCATCACTAGCAATACCAGTCAGACGAACTCAATAGGCCCAGTCAGCACATCAATTCGCTGTCAACCTTGAAATATGTCGAACAACACTCTAAAACTCGTTCGTCTTTAGAAAGGCAAAGCTTGTGAATTCTTTGATGCCAATGGAATTTCCTTACGTGCGCTCCTAGAGATAGGAAACAAAAAGTTAATGGCCACGTTTCCGTACAGGTGGCCCTCCTCAGACTGGTGTGGTCGGAGCTCTTCGTGCTAAACGCGAGCCAGTGCTCCATGCCGCTGCACGTGGCGCCCCTGATAGCGGCCGCAGGACTCCACGCCTCCCCCATGTGCGCAGACAGGGTGGTGCAGTTCATGGACCACATCAGGATATTCCAGGTTAGTGGATTCAGGATCTTATTTTTCGTTGAAAACAAAATTTTTAGCAAATGCCCGGGAAGTAACACTTTTGTGGACTAGTCCGGAAAGTAGCACTTTTGTGGACTAGTCCGGAAAGTAGCACTTTTGTGGACTAGTCCGGAAAGTAGCACTTTTGTGGACTAGTCCGGAAAGTAGCACTTCTGTAGACTAGTCCAGGAAGTATACGTGTTTCTTGGACGAGGCGGCTGGAAAGAACTACATCGCTGTTATATTGACGACTGGAATGGGGGAGACCACTGATTTTTTTAAAAATACGTCATCGTGATCTCTTTACCAAAAACCTACCAGTATAAATATGATTTTGAAGTTCTTCATTCGTACCAAGACGACAAGAAAAATGAATTAAAACAAGTTCAATAATCTAAAATTCACACTTCCTGCGCAATATGAAATTGTGTCAATTCATTGGTGTGACTGGTGTGAAAGTAGCACTTTTGTGGACTAGTCCGGAAAGTAGCACTTCTGTGGACTAGTCCAGGAAGTATACGTGTTTCTTGGACGAGGCGGCTGGAAAGAACTACATCGCTGTTATATTGACGACTGGAATGGGGGAGACCACTTATTTTTTTAAAATTACGTCATCGTGATCCCTTTACCAAAAACCTACCAGTATAAATATGATTTTGAAGTTCTTCATTCGTACCAAGACGACAAGAAAAATGAATTAAAACAAGTTCAATAATCTAAAACTCACACTTCCTGCGCAATATGAAATTGTGTCAATTCATTGGTGTGACTGGTGTGACGTATATTAGTCCCAATAAGCTTATTGTCCTTGAGCTGACCAATCATACTGCAACATACTGCAGAATGGCAAGGTATTGAAGAGAGATAGCTACAGTTCTGGACTAATACGTCGCGGTTCCACCTCCATATCTTGATTGATTGATAGATTGATTAAATGTAAATCATGAATTATCGATTGAAGGGGTATAGACGGATATCATCCCTCAGTGGTCTTCCCCATTGGCACGATAATCAAACTGCACTGTTTTACCACTAATCAAATTGCATTTTAAACGCCTCGACACGTGTTTCGCTAACTTTGCTAGCATCTCCAGAAGAAGATTGAAACATTATATTATGAAATTACACTTTAGTCATTGGTGAAAAACAATTTTACAATATAATATAATTTACATGATAACGTGATAAATATTCACTTTGTGAAAACATACTCGTAATATTTTCGGAGTTGTATACAGGTTTGCTGGAATTCGAACCTCATCATTGGGATCTCGTAAAACGTGAGAGATACAGGGTCGGTGAAACTATATCAAAGTTGCGCAATTTTATGCCTCAAAAATTTCCTGGAACCACTTTTATTTTTTATTCAAGTTATTTGAAGTAATTCATCGAAATGAATGACACTTTATCGTGGCCACTTCTTCTCCCTACAAGTTGGCGGTTTCAAATTTTGAATCCAAAGTTTCGTCTTACAGAAACCATCATCAACTTCTCCTTTTAAATACACACACACCTCTGAATACCGCAGAAGCCATGAGCTATCACAAATTCACATTTTCGAATGTTTAGTTTACAAAAATTGACAGATTTGTGTTGAATACTAAAAAATATACAGAAAATGTCAACTTTTGATAACGAAACATCCGGAAATAGACATTTGTGATAGCTCATAGCTTTTGAGCTATTCAAAGGTCTGAAAAAATTAAATAAAAAATCCAGATCCGTATTTGAAGAAGGTACGTTGATGATGGTTACTGGAAGACCAAATGTCGGATTTCAAATTTGAAAACGCCAACTCGATAATTTCTTTAAATACTTAACTTCAACTTAGTAAATTCCGGTTTCTTCCGTATATCGCCGAAAGTGTTAGAAAGTTCCAAAACGACATTTTGTAAGGCATAAACTTGTGCCACTTTGCCATAAATCTACCGACCCTGTACCACTTTCGTTTTACGAGATCCTAATGACGGGGCTCGAATTCCAGCCACCCTGTACTGTGAATCTGTAAATTCACAATTTAAAGTTTAATCACAATAACAATAACAGTTTACACTTGTAGAATCACGCTTTCAAAGGATAAAATTACAATTTTAATCTGTGGAACACCTTTGTGTTCTTGCCAACAAAACACTGAAAATATTCAAGAATCAAAAATTTTGTAGATATAGTTTTTTTATATGTTAGTTTCAATAATCGATGGAAACCGCATTATTTTAAATTTTTCTTCTATATTGCTTAGCGTAATTTCTCCTAGGCTTTTTTGCCACTAAATACAACTGATTTATTTGACATTATTCTCTTCCAGGAACAAGTAGAAAAGCTGAAAGCGTTACACGTAGATTCAGCCGAATATTCTTGTTTGAAAGCCATCGTTCTCTTCACGACTGGTAAGTAGATGCAATCAATGTCGACAATGACGTCTCAACATATCTTTGTCACGTGTCAACGAATTATGTATATTTATAAGCGATTCCAATCAAGTGAGACCACAGTTCAGGGATTTTTTGCGGATATTCATCTAGTAACTAATACACTGAGACAACAGTTCATTTTCGATAAGGAAATTCCATCTATTGTTTGCAATTAACAAATGCCATTGTTGGATATTGCCTAACTAAGGTAATTTCATCAGGAACTAATGGTTTTATCATATAAAAAATTACAAATGAATACACAGTACACAGTTCGATATAAAGTGATATTAATCTTCATCTAATGAAATGTGAATTGAATATATATTAAGAAGTAACACTTCATGGACACTATACAGCATTTTGCATTGAATTAGATTTGTTTACAATAATGTAAGTTACAAATTCACTTACCATTTTGTTATAATGCAATTAACTGTCACTCTCCATATATTTTTCTAAAATTGTTCTTATCCGTCATTCGGAGCAACCCTCAGAAGTCTTCAAGAGACTTTTGCGAGCAAGGAATGACGGGTTTCTTACCCCAATAAACTTAGCAGAACCACTTCAATATTTCGGATTTGTAATAGTACTATAATTTGTTACTGATTTAGTACTAATTTATCATCATATTCGCAAATTTATTACTCTTCATTAAACAGAAAAAACCAACGGCTCTGCTAGCTTTATGTCAACCTAGCAGAACCATAGCTGAAAATTTAATGTTTTGAAAATTTTAAATATACCATAATTTTCAAACATCTGAGGCGATCCATCTTGCTTGCTTTTGAGAGTTTGGTATGAACAGAAAATAATTTTTCGATTTGCTCCAAATACTTATTACCATGTTATTTAAAGTTCCCTAACAAAGGGGTTCCGCAATAATTGCGGTCCCCATTTGAAATTTTCATAATTTTTAAAAATATTTTCACCAATATGAATTATATGTAAACATAACTTTTTTCCTCCAGAACAGTACTCCTATGTAACAATAATGCTAATGATGAAGCTTTAAAGCTTCGAAACATGTCCCTGTAAGATTGCTTACAATAAAGTATAGCTTTGGTGGAGTCGACTGTAAGAATTTTGTCCTGTCCTAATACCATAATTTATTACTAACTTATATAATCACGAATTTTTTACTCATCATTTCAAGGAAAAAAACGACGATTTGTCTATCTCGATCTCAACCTAGCAGAACCAAAACTCAAATCACATGTTTTTTGAAATTCTGTTGTATCATCGATAAGTTACTAATTCATTACTAATTTATTATCACATTCGCAAATTTCTAACACTTCATTCAACAGGGAAAACCAACTAGTGGGGTCGGTTAACTAAAAATTCTACCAAAATATTTCACATCTGGCAACCAATGCGCCCTTTCAGATCCAGATAGAACATGGGTAGACGCGTTGAAAAAGCCCGGGACACAAATTTTTCTGGCCCTCTAGCGGCGTTGATGACGTAATCAATATGGCCGCCATAGTTTTGTGGCAAGCTTTTACATTTCCCTGTGTAACTCGGGTTTGTATTAGAATATTAACCAATATCATCAGTGATTATTGATGAGGAGAAAATAGGCTTTCCAACGGTATAAAATACATTATCGTTTAAGTTTGTAATTATAGAAATAATTGCAACATAATTATTTTTTTCATTCAATTTTGGTTTCTATCGAAACATTTTGCTGAATTACTCGGAACCCGCTGCAAATAGCCAAAAACGTGTCGAATACTTTTTGTTCGTCAATGAGTTGGCTTTCGAACGGTATATATATAACTTTCATTTTATAACAAACAGGTACTGAAAATGTATTAAAACAATGTAGCGTTGCACACTTATGGCAAGAATGTAATTTATATAATTGTATGTATAAGTAGCGAATGTATTTATTGTTAATTTTTATGTATATTAAATAAATTGTATAGCATGTTCATTGCAATTGAAATTCTATTCCGTTTCAAAATCAGTAATAGGAGTCATACCCAAGATGATTGTGAGATAAGTTTCAATCAATATAGGTACACGAACGAGAAATAAAAGAATTTAAATAAATACAATATTATTTCAATTTAATATGCAAATTCTGTACATATATCGTAAAATAAACTGGTATACAAAGAATATTTTTTGCAATAATATTTAAAGGGTTGGAAAACTAAAAATTCCCCTTGTGATTACCGATCACTGTCGGAGCACTAACCTTCGCATACACAAAGTTTTGTACATCGTATTCCCATTTTAATACATTTACAAGATGTGCATCTCTTGCGGCAAGTACAAGTGGTAAGTTGTACACAGTGTTTTGCCACTTCCGGAATTATTGTCCACACAGGTCGGTATGAACCTTCTGAAGTCACAGTCCATCCTCAATTGGTTGGGAGGTATTGCGTATTGTGAATCGAGGCTGTTGTTCTAGATTCTTGCTTGAAGAGTAGCTCGTTTAATATGTTGAATGCATTCTTGAAAGATCCTTCAAATCTAGGAAAATCTTCAAAAAGTCTTCGTAATATACCTACTGCCCGTCCCAGACACATACCATCACTGAAGTCATTAAATGCACAGGCATCACGAATGGCATCGCCAACATCCCCTTCAAAACTCAAAATAATTTCACGTCCTGACTTATCTGCTCTCAGGCCAGGTATGAATGATAATAGTTGTTCTTTGAGACGTGTTCTATTGATATTTTTCTCATCAGTTTGCGTTCCCATGTTTGTCATGCGTTGAGATACTAATTTTGTCAGATATGAAAGTTTGAACACTGGGAAAGTACTGCTAGATGAGTAAAAATCTTGCATGTATTGAACCAATTCCGTTATAACAGTACCATAAGGAACTTCTTCGGGATTGTAATGATCACCTTTTCGGCTAAGTTCAGCAGCTCTTGCACTAGTTAGGAAGCGAGTATAGCATATAGTTTGTGGTATTTGGCATCTAACGCTACCAAATCTGTTGACGATAACTTCTTCAACAATTTTTCATCTTGTGATTGTATAGCATGACTATGAATTGTAGGCCCAATACCCAGCGTGGATGCTGCCACAAGTCTGTCTCTATCTTCTCCTTCATCACAAAAGAGACACACCTTTTTCACATCAGGGCAAAATAATGCTGCTCTTTTGTTAATTTTGAAGTAGATGGAGTTTCGTCTGTGCAATTAGGGCGTTCTTTCTGTTTCTTCCCACGAGACAGTCTTTCCTCCTTTTGACTGTCATAATTGTTCTTGCAAGATTTGTGATATTTTGCTTCACGGGCTACTAGTGTTTGTAAAAGACCATTTCCATCGTCCAACTGATTCAAGTTTCTAATAGCACTTGGAAGCTTACCATGTTCAGCAAAAACTGTGAGATTCTTCGCCGTTGTTAAGTAATCTTCATACTTCGGAATGATTAGGTGCTCCTTGGAATGCTTTTGGCATAGCAAACACAGGTCCCATACAAACGGAGCCAACACTGGTTCAGTCGTAGCATCAACAAATTCATGTTTCCTCTTCGCAGTAGCGGCGTTAGGGTAGGGCGCGGTTGGGCGACCGCCCAGGGCGCCGGATGGAAAGGGGCGCCGCAGACACCCCAATAAATCCTTCAAATTCTCCAAATTAATATCATAAGCACATCTCTCTACAATCAACAGATATAGATCTCAGTAAATGCACAAAAATGTTGAAAGAATGCTGCACTTTCTCCTAAGAATATAGAAATACAAACTCTAAAATCGCCATTTTAACTGCAGAGGAATTGGCTGAAGAACAAGAAATTAAACCTAAGCCTGGAGAGCCTCGCTGTTCGTTGGATGTATGAGTCTTTGGAAACAGATGTTCTGCAGGTCTCCAAAGTGACCACGAAGGGGTGCGAAGCCTCAACTCGACGGGTTAATCTCGCGGGGACTCATGCCAAGAGAGGAACAATTGTTGATATTTCAGAAGAGCATCGTCAATGAAAATATCTATAAAATAGAGCCAAGAGCCATATCGCCAACTTTACTACGGAGTTCCAGAGAAATGCCCTTTTTTGAACAGAATCCAACAGTTTCAGGGTATGTTTGGGTGCTGCACTCCAAATATGGGATCAGTATTCCAGGACAGGTCGGATCTGTGCTTTATGGATCATAAGCAGCTGACTGGAAGTGAAATAGCTCCTGGCTCGAAACAGAAAACTAAGTTTTTGGGGTGCACTTTTAGCAATTGATCTTACGTGATTTTCCCAAGAAAGTTTATTGCTGATAGTAATACCAAGCATCGGAATAGATGTCTTCAAAGGTATAGAAATGAATAGCATTGCGAATATTATTGACTGGATATACCTGTAATGGTTGCTAGTGGGGAGATGAGTTTATAAAAGAGTTTGCCAATACAACGGCTAGACAAGTGGAATCTATCAGTTTTTTCAAATAAATGGTTATTTTTTTAAATCAATTGATATTCCATTATACCCATTGCCTCCTGTGGAGTTGAATAACAGTAAGGGGGCGCCTTAAAATTCTTGCCCAGGGCGCTGGTAGTGCTAAAACCGGCACTGCCTCTTCGTTGACATTGTTCTGTTTATTGTCGACTGAAGTGAAATATTTCTCATATCATGACGTATCTCAAATAACATCTGCCTAGAAAAGATTTTATTTTCAAACTCTTATCGTGTGTGTTCAATAGATATAATTCAATGTTCGTTGAATAAACTGAAAAGGAGTTGATATTCTCATCACATAGAGAATGCGAACTCTCAATGTATTGCTTTATATAAATATATATTCATTTTTGTATGTTCATAATTTATCTGAGAATAATCCTTTCCACACATTTAGAGCCAGTATTACATTGCTGTCATAACTGTGCAACACTACATTGTTGTGGCACATTTTCAGTTATGAAATATAAATCATATACACCATCCAAAAGCTAATTCATTGATGAACAAAAAGTATCTGCTACGTTTTTAGCTATATGCAACAGGTTTCGAGCAATAAAGCAAAATGTTTCGATAGAAATCAAAATTGAATAAAAAAAATAATTATGTTGTAATTATTTCTATAATTACAAACTTGAACGATAATGTATTTCATACCGTTGGAAAGCCTGCCTTCTCCTCATCAATAATCACTACTAATATTGGTTGATATTCTGATACAAACCCGAGTTACACAGGGAAATGTAAAAGCTTGCCACAAAACTATGGCGGCCATATTGATTACGTCATCAACGCCGCTAGAGAGCCAGAAAAATTTGTGTCCCGAGCTTTTTCAACGCGTCTACCCATGTACTATCTGAATCCAAAAGGGCGCATTGGTTGCCAGATGTGAAACTTTTTTCCGCTATCCGACCCCACGCTAGCTTGCTGTCATCCAAACAATTAATAATAATAATAATAAATGTTCTTTATTGGTTAAAACCAAATGGCCATCGACCGAGGTCCTTCAGCCAAACAATTATTATTTTGAAAACTTCAAATATACCATAATTTATTACTATTTTATTACTAACTTATAACTATAATCACGAAATTTCTACTCATCATTTCAAGAAAAAAAAAACGACGATTTGTCTATCTTGAACTCAACCTAGCAAAACCAAAACTCAAATCATATGTTTTTTGAAATTCTGTTGTATCATCGATAAGTTACTGATTTATTACTGATTTATTACCACATTCGCAAATTTCTAACACTTCATTTAACAAGGAAAACCAACGGCTCTGTTAGCTTTCTGTCAACCTAGCAGAGCCATAGCTAAACAATTATTATTTTGAAAACTTCAAACACCTAGCAGAACCAAAACTCAAATCACATGTTTTTTGAAATTCTGTTGAATCATCAACAAGTTAGTAATTTATTACTAATTTATTACCCACACATACGCAAATTCTTCACACTTCATTTGACAGGAAAAATCAACGGCTCTGCTAACTTCATGTCGACCTCTAACCCAACCATAGCTGAAAATTTACTATTTCGAAAACTTCAAGTATATACCATAATTTATAACTATTTTATTACTAGCTTATAACTATAATCACGAATTTTTTACTCATCATTCCAAGGAAAAAAACGCTGATTATTTTATCTCGGTCTCAACCTAGCAGAGCCGAAACTCATATCACAAGTTTTTTTAAATTCCATCGAGACCTCCATTAGTTACTAATTTATTAATAACTAGCTGTAATAAATTAGTTACTATCGATGATACAATGATGTGATTTGAGTTTTGGTTCTGCTAGGTTGAGATCGAGATAGACAAATCGTTGTTTTTTTCCTTGAAATGATGAGTAAAAAATTCGTGATTATATAGTTATAAGTTAGTAAAAAAATAGTTATAAATTATGGTATATTTGAAATTTTCTAATTATCAAATTTTCAGCTTTTTTTCTGTTCAATGAAGAGTAATAAATTTGCGAATATGATAATAAATTAGTACTAAATTAGTAACAAATTATGGTACTATTGCAAATCCGAAATATTGAAGTGGTTCTGCTAAGTTTATTGGGGTGGGTTTCTTTACCTATTAACGTGTGATCCCAAGCACTTTTTCAGGCCATCAGAAAAATGTCTGCAATCGGGGATGTTATTAATGTTTGAACTCCATTTACAATACCTGTGCACTCAGAGAAATAGTCGATAGTGAGTACCAAACGTTTAGTAAAATAAGCGCCAGTCTCTATACATTAATCAAATAATACCACAACAAAATCGTATCATATATATGATGATGACTATACTATTCTATAAGTACCTATCATACTATTTTGTAGTGGTAATATTTGGTATAGTAGTAGTATTATACAATTTTCTAGTGGAATATTATTAGATGAATGTATAGTGACTGGCGCCTATTTTACTAAACGTTTGGTATTCACTACCAACTATTTTTTTCGGTGTGTTTTAATTATATAGTTTTTTCATTGTTGAAGAAAACGAGGGAATTATTTTCACTAAAGAAACATAACTTGAAGCTATATATAGAGAAATCATTTTGGTAATGATATATGACGACTTCTTTGTTACTATACAGAGTGATTCACGTAAGCCTCACATCAAAAGTTTTCCAACTTGTAGTTGGTTTCGAAATTTGAAAATTGTTATGCTATTATAATCGATCATATCCAATCTATCTGAAATATTTTTAGTTCTCCAGATTTACAGGAAGTTCCAAAATTCGGCAACTTTCTCATTCTAAATAGAAACCTAAATTTTTTTTCACACAGCACTATCGACCTTCCAAATCTGAGTTTAGACTAGGCTAACTTCTGATGTACCATGGATGGTCCCATCCTGTACAATATGGGCGCGAGCGATTTTCAAATGGGGCTTTGGATAATTGTCGGAAGATGTACTGTTTCAAAAGGCTCCTACTATTTTTTCTGATACCATAATTATGGAAGGAAATTTAGAAAAAGAGAGAGAAAGAGAGAATATGCTTTATTGTCTAAATGTGTAAAATCTTATTGACAAAAAGATAACCTCAAAATAAAAAACGAAACTAGAATTACAGGAAATTGCTACCAACACCAACACATTTTAATTTTTTTTTATCTCTTGGAGCGCACCAATAATGTTCTGGAAGATCTTGAAATATTCGTATAGAATGTTACTCAAGCATTACCTATACCTATATCAAACCTCTAAAATTGTTCTGAAATTGTTCTTATCCATCATTTGGTTGCCCCCTCACGAGCAACTCTCAAAAGTCTTCAACAGACTTTTGCGAGCAAGGAATGACGGGGGTATTACTGACACTTCAACCACGAGGCTCCGCTGGCCAACTTAACTAGTGTTTTTCCAGTGTAGAACGAATGGTGATCTTCGAAATCAGCGATACATTCTTCTCAGTGTATACGGTGAAGTTATTCAACGACGAACGAATTTTCAGTAATAGAACATCAAAGGCGGGATGGAGGTTTGACTTGAGTGACTCAAATCCTCAAATTCAATTTTTCTTCGTAAGGTTTCGAAAAAATAGTGGCATTTGAAGAAGTTGAGATTTTTAGAAACTTTCCTCTCATTTGATTTCCACTTTCCTATAAAATAATCTCCAGATGGCTGCAAAGTTCTATTTGTGTGCTAAAATAACATGCTGATTCTATAGTTTGACAAATGAGACTACCGTGAAAACAATTCTAGTTATACAGGGTGTTTCTTGAACTCTCTGACAAAA